GTGAAATCAAACTGTCCACTTAGGAAGCAACACTGATTGACAATCAATTTCACATGCTGTTGTGCAACTGGAAAAGACAACAGGTGGAAATTATAGGCAATTAGCAAGACACCCCCGATAAAGGAGTGGTTCTGCAGGTGGTGACCACAGACCACTTCTCAGTTCCTGTGCTTCCTGGCTGATGTTTTGGCGCTGCTTTCACTCTAGTGGTAGCACGAGACGGAGTCTACAACCCACACAAGTGGCTCAGGTAGTGCAGCTCATCCAGGATGGCACATCAATGCGAGCTGTGGCAAGAAGGTTTGCTGTGTCTGTCAGCGTAGCGTCCAGAGCACGGAGGCGCTACCAGGAGACAGGCCAGTACATCAGGAGACGTGGAGGAGGCCGTAGGAGGGCAACGACCCAGCAGCAGGACCGCTACCTCTGCCTTTGTGCAAGGAGGAGCAGGAGGAGCACTGCCAGAGCCCTGCAAAATGACCTCCAGCAGGCCACAAATGTGCACGTGTCTGCTCAAACGGTCAGAAACAGACTCCATGAGGGTGGTACGAGGGCCCGACGTCCACAGGAGGGGGTTGTGCTTACAGCCCAACACCGTGCAGGACGTTCGCCAGAGAACACCAAGATTGGCAAATTCGCCACTGGCGCCCTGTGCTCTTCACAGATGAAAGCAGGTTCACACTGAGCACATGTGACAGACGTGACAGAGTCTGGAGACGCTGTGGAGAACGTTCTGCTGCCTGCAACATCCTCCAGCATGACCGGTTTGGAGGTGGGTCAGTAATGGTGTGGGGTGGCATTTCTTTGGGGGGCCGCACAGCCCTCCATGTGCTCGCCAGAGGTAGCCTGACTGCCATTAGGTACCGAGATGAGATCCTCAGACCCCTTGTGAGACCATATGCTGGTGCGGTTGGCCCTGGGTTCCTCCTAATGCAACACAATGCTAGACCTCATGTGGCTGGAGTGTCAGCAGTTCCTGCAAGAGGAAGGCATTGATGCTATGGACCGGCCCGCCCGTTCCCCAGACCTGAATCCAACTGAGCACATCTGGGACATCATGTCTCGCTCCATCCACCAACGCCGCGTTGCACCACAGACTGCTTTAGTCCAGGTCTGGGAGGAGGTCCCTCAGGAGACCATCCGCCACCTCATCAGGAGCCCAGGCGTTGTAGGGAGGTCATGCAGGCACGTGGAGGCCACAAACACTACTGAGCCTCATTTTGACTTGTTTTAAGGACATCAAAGTTGGATCGGCCTGTAGTTTGGTTTTCCACTTTGATTTTGAGTGTGACTCCAAATCCAGACCTCCATGGGTTGATAAATTTTGATTTTGTTGTCAGCGTATTCAACTATATAAAGAAAGGAGTATTTAATGAGATTATTTCATTCATTCAGATCTAGGATGTGTTATTTTAGTGTTCCCTTTATTTCTTTGAGCAGTGCATTATTTTCCTGAATGAGTAAATGAGCCAGTATGATATTTCTGTCTCAGTGGGTTAATTGTGTGCTCTGGATCTACTTTTAGGACTTGTGTGCTAATGTTAGGGTTCCAGTGTGGCACAGACCTGATCCTCTCCTCTTCTGTCCCCCCAGTGGTCCCGTTAAACATCTGCATGCTGAACATCTGGGGACGGAAGATCAGTCTGATGGTGCTGCAGCTGCTGTCGGCCATTTTGTTCATGTTGGTCAACATCTGCACCACCATGTAAGAACTTTAGAGACGACTTCTGGAAACAGGTTTATAAAGTCCTCCCGTCTCACTGTGTGCAGGTTTATGAGGACCTCCTGTGTGACTGGGTCCAGGTTTATGTGGTCCTTGAGTCTAACTGGGTCCAGGTTTATAAAGACCTCCTGTCCCTGTTTATCTCTCCAGGTTTGGGTTCACGGTGTTGCTGTTCCTGCTCCGGTCTCTGGTCTCCATGAACTTTAATGTGGTTTATATTTACACCGCTGAGGTAAGTCTAAGTCTGCTGGTTTTAGTGGAGGTGTGTATTGATCCAGGTCTCAGGTAACAGGTGTTCTTTGTCTCTCAGGTGTATCCCACTGTGGCTCGGTCTCTGGGGATGGGCTTCTGTACGTCGTTCAGTCGTATCGGAGGAATGATCGCTCCGTTCATCGCTCAGGTGGGTTCACCGTCCTGACCAGAATCCCCTCAGGTGAGTCTTCAGGTGTTTCTGCTGCTGACGTCACTCTGTGTGTCCTTCAGGTGTTGATGTCTCAGTCAGTGATTCAGGCTCTCACTCCGTTCGCTGTGGCCTGTGGAGTCTGCGCTATCGGAAACTTTCTGCTGCCTATAGAAACTAAAGGACGAGCTCTGCTGGTGAGAAACGCATCGCTGTTTCTTCTTTGTACAAAACTTTATTTTAACTTTGTACAAACTTTATTTCCTCTTTGTACAAACTTTATACAAACTTTATTTTAACTTTGTACAAACTTTATTTTAACTTTGTACAAACTTTATTTCCTCTTTGTACAAACTTTATACAAACTTTATTTTAACTTTGTACAAACTGTATTTCCTCTTTGTACAAACTGTATTTCCTCTTTGTACAAACTTTATTTTAACTTTGTACAAACTTTATTTTAACTTTGTACAAACTGTATTTCCCCTTTGTACAAACTTTATACAAACTTTATTTCAACCTTGTACAAACTGTATTTCCTCTTTGTACAAACTTTATACAAACTTTATTTCAACCTTGTACAAACTGTATTTCCTCTTTGTACAAACTTTATACAAACTTTATTTCAACCTTGTACAAACTTTATTTCCTCTTGGGACAAACTTTATTTCCTCTTGGGACAAACTTTATTTTAACTTTGTACAAACTTTTTTTTAACTTTATTTCCTCTTTGTACAAACTTTATTTCCTCTTTGTACAAACTGTATTTTAACTTTGTACAAACTTTTTTTTAACTTTATTTCCTCTTTGTACAAACTTTATTTCCTCTTTGTACAAACTTTATTTTAACTTTGTACAAACTTTTTTTTAACTTTATTTCCTCTTTGTACAAACTTTATTTTAACTTTTCCTCTTTGTACAAACTTTATTTTAACTTTGTACAAACTTTATTTCCTCTTTGTACAAACTTTATTTTTACTTTGTACAAACTTTTTTTAACTTTATTTCCTCTTTGTACAAACTTTATTTTAACTTTTCCTCTTTGTACAAACTTTATTTCCTCTTTGTACAAACTTTATTTCCTCTTTGTACAAACTTTATTTTAACTTTTCCTCTTTGTACAAACTTTATTTCCTCTTTGGACAAACTTTATTTCCTCTTGGACAAACTTTATTTTAACTTTGTTTCCCCTTTGTACAAACTTTGTTTTCTCTTTGTACAAACTTTATTTTAACTTTTCCTCTTTGTACAAACTTTATTTTAACTTTATTTCCTCTTTGTACAAACTTTATTTTAACTTTGTTTCCCCTTTGTACAAACTTTGTTTTCTCTTTGTACAAACTTTATTTGAACTTTTCCTCTTTTACAAACTTTATTTTAACTTTGTTTCCTCTTTGTACAAACTTTATTTTAGTTTTATTTTAACTTTGTACAAACTTTGTACAAACTGTATTTCCTCTTTGTAAAAACTGTATTTCCTCTTTGTACAAACTTTATACAAACTTTATACAAACTTTATTTCAACAATGTACAAACTTTATTTCCTCTTTGTACAAACTTTATTTCCTCTTTGTACAAACTTTATTTTAACTTTGTACAAACTTTTTTTTAACTTTATTTCCTCTTTGGACAAACTTTATTTTCTCTTTGGACAAACTTTATTTTAACTTTGTTTCCTCTTTGGACAAACTTTATTTTAACTTTGTTTCCTCTTTGGACAAACTTTATTTTAACTTTTCCTCTTTGGACAAACTTTATTTTAACTTTATACAAACTTTATTTCCTCTTTGTACAAACTTTATTTTAACTTTGTACAAACTTTATTTCCTCTTTGTACAAACTTTATTTTAACTTTGTACAAACTTTTTTTTAACTTTATTTCCTCTTTGGACAAACTTTATTTCCTCTTTGTACAAACTTTATTTTAACTTTGTTTCCCCTTTGTACAAACTTTGTTTTCTCTTTTTACAAACTTTATTTGAACTTTTCCTCTTTGTACAAACTTTATTTTAACTTTATTTACTCTTTGTACAAACTATATTTTAACTTTATTTACTCTTTGTACAAACTATATTTTAACTTTATTTACTCTTGTCCAAACTTTTTTTTAACTTTGTTTTCTTCTTGTACAAACTTTATTTTAACTTTTTCCAAACTTTATTTAAACTTTGTACAAACCTTTTTAACTTTGTTTCCTCTTCCTGCAAACTGTATTTTAACTTTTTTCCTCTTTGTACAAACCTTATTTTAACTTTAATTTAACTTTGTTTATTCCTCTTTTTTTCAGCAAAACTCCTGATGACTTCTCCAAACAAAGTGTCTGTTACTGTTTGTCGTTTTATCGTTGTTAAGTCTGAAATATGAAGATATTAAATGTGTTACTGACATCAGCTTGTCCTGTTCATCATTACGAGACATCGAACCCACTCTGCTGGATGTTTCTCAGACGTTTGTGACTGAGTGTGAGAATGTGGGGAGGTGATTGACATGGTGTTAGAGGCTGCTCCTGGCTCTGATTTGTTGTTTTGATCATCAGGAGCCTGATCACCTGTCTCGGGTACTGCAGTCAGAATACAGGGACAGTTTCAGCAAATATAACCGTCATTTCTTTCTCTGCTGCAGCTTTAAAGTGTTTTTTAAAATGTTTTTTAGATTTTCTTTTACAGACCCAATAGATTTCTAAATATAGTGCTCTACCAATGGTTCAGATATTGCCTATGATGAAAAGACCAAATACATGTAAATATAAAAAAAACGTTAGAAAACATCAAGTAACATGGTTCATTTTTGCGGAAATAAATACAAACATACAGTAAAAAAATCATTGTGATATAATGTTTTTATTAAATATATGAATATGATATTAAATGTGAATGTTTTTGAGTCATTTTATTTCACAAAAATTGTAAATTTATTATCTTCATCACTACCTGTAAATGACAACTCAACCGTTTTGGTCCAGCAGGTTTCTAAACATTACAAAATCATAATATGCTGAAATAATTTCATAATGTCTACAAGAAAGAAGTTTAGAATTTTGTAGTAAGTACTCAGTGGAGGCTTTGCTGTAACGAGGTGAACTGAAAAAGCTTACCTTCCAAAGACACAGTACAACAAAACTAGTACAGCAGGACATTAAAGGGGGATTATGACATGTTGACTGACCTGATGATGGCGCTACAGTTCATCCTGAGGGGGGACATGAAGGTCTGAAGCACATTTAATCACTATCCATCCAACAGAGAGCCCTACAGTCAGACATCAACACCACCTGCAGAGAATAAACCCTGTTATTCAGGTCAGACGATGCAGGAGCTTCAGTGTAGTGGCTCTGACAGCCTGATGGTGGCACTGCTGAGTCTGCAGACGAGGATGATCTCTGGCTCCTGAACTGCTTACCTTAATCCCATTAGCTCAGACACTCAGATTACAGATTACTGTCTGTCCACAGGGGGCGGGCCTCCATTGACCCCGCCCCCTGACCTCAGACTGTGTGTGTGTGTGTGATTAAAGTGGATTTAGACGTTGACTGGCAGCAGATGAAGATGGACGGCAGCTCTGAGAGACGTGAGTACTGATTTACCTCTGAACATTAGATCTGTGATTCAGCAGATCAGTTTACTCACAGGGTCAGGGTCTTTAATAAACCTGTTCTAGATCAGTTTACTCACAGGGTCAGGGTCTTTAATAAACCTGTTCTAGATCAGTTTACTCACAGGGTCAGGGTCTTTAATAAACCTGTTCTAGATCTGCTGACAGGACCAGGGTCTTTAATAAACCTAGATCAGTTTACTGACAGGGTCAGGGTCTCGTCCTCCTGTCCTGGCAGATCGTGTTCCAGGTCTGTTCTTCACCTTTAGAGGTAGAAACATTAACAGGATTCTGTATTGTCTCATTTACTCTAGTAATAATATTAATATTATAAATACACAGAAGAAACATACTGCCTCTCGTCATTACTTTGTGTTTCATTTTTACTGGTTTGTGTCGTTGGCCTGAGTTCCTGTTCTGGTTCTGGTCTCTGTGAGTCTGCCTGAAGGACTGTGTGTGTGTGCGTTGGTGCTTGGTACTGATGGATCTGTTCTGAATGAACCTCTTTGTTTCTGTTCACACTGACTGTGAACATGTCGGTCATGTGACCTGGACACAGTGACTTCATTATGACACGTGCTAAAAGCTGCAGCTGCCAGCTGCACGTCAGGAAGCAAAAGTTGTTTCCAGAATTTTGTAGTTGAATCTCAGCTCAAGGTCCACTAGCTTTTGACCGAATCACACCGTCTTCAACTGCAGACTGTTTGAGCTGCTGTTATTTAAGGTTGGATGATGTTTAAAGACATCAGACTGAGTTACCTTTTCAGGTGTTCTGATGAAACAGATACCACCATGTTAGAAGTCTAAGCACTCAGGATTACAGTACAGACATGTTATCATCAAGAAGTACTACTACTCCTAATACGCATAATATTTTATCAGTTGATCACAGATGCTTCATATGTTATATTTAACTAATAATCCAGCTATTCAATGAATGTCTGCTGTAAAAATTACAATATCTAGTATTGTAGAAAGTCATAAAGTGAAAATATTCAATTGATAAAGAAAAGTAAAAGTACGTCACATTTGTACTTCAGAAAATCCATTTCTGTTGCTCCTGTGGACAGAACAGGTGTGTTTTAAATGACAGAGCAGGACGTCTGGACGTCGTCTTTATTACATGTTTGACTGGTTCATGAATGTGAAGCAGCATTTTAATGTTGTGAACACAAATTCTCTTCCCCTTGATGTTCGCAGTAGCGACTGTTTGTTGACTTTTAAAACGCGTCTTAAGACACATCTTTTTATACAAGCTTTTTTATAACATGTTGTACTGAGTTTTTAATGCATTTTATCTGTATGCGGCTTGTTTGTTGTGTGTATTGTTTTATGCAGTGATGAGTGATGAGTGAGGTGACCTTGGGTGTTATGAAAGGCGCCATTAAATAAGATGCATTATTATTATTATTATTATTATTATTAGATACTTTCTGTTGTTGGGTAGTAGAAGTACCTGAAAGTAGGTTAATGGTTCAGTTTATTGATCCATTACAACATAAAAAGTACTGACAAAGCAACGCTGATACAAAATACAGGAAATAAATACCCATATATACTACAGTATGTAGCAGTACTGTGTAAAAGTACTGCAATTGAGTACATGTACATAATTACCTTAACAGATCTGTGCAACGTTTCAGGGTGAATCTTCTCTCTGACGACCTGGAGTCTGCCAGTGACATTATCAGCAGGTGACTCCCTTCCCATGGTGCCCTGCAGCCTCCGGGGTCGCCATGGGAGACGAGTCTTACCCAGAATGCCGAGCTCAGGAGCTGTTTGACGAGTTTGTGTCAGCGTCGACCTGCAGGGCGACGCTGAGGTCCTTCAGCCAGCTGTGTGACCATCTGCAGCTGGACCAGAGCGCCGCCGAGAGGCCTCTGTACCGGACCATCAAGTGCCGCCTCAACTACTGGAGGGCCAACGCTCTGTGGGCCAAACTGGACCGAAGGGCCGGCCAGCAGGAGTACCAGAGGGCCCGGGTCTGCAGCAACACCACCGTATGTTCATATATGCTGTGGTGACATCACAGTGATGTCACTGCAGGTGTAAAGGTGCTGCTAAGTTCCTTTTTTCGAGGCTAACCGTCTCGTTTAAAATAAAGTAGAGCAACCAGTTAGCTTTGATCAGGGAACTATAAATTAGTAGAACAGCCCTTTAAGAAAACCACTGAGGGCCTCTGATTGGTCACCTGATGTCTTCTCTCTCTCTGATTGGTCAGTGCGTGATTATCGGGGCGGGGCCCTGTGGTTTGAGGACGGCGGTGGAGCTGAGCTTCATGGGAGCTCGGGTGGTGCTGCTGGAGAAGAGAGACTCCTTCTCCAGGAACAACGTGCTCCACCTGTGGCCCTTCACCATCCACGACCTGCGGGGCCTCGGGGCCAAAAAGTTCTACGGGAAGTTCTGTGCCGGCTCCATCGACCACATCAGTGAGTCTGTGATCCGTCACTCTTGTACGATCTGAACAGCTGGATCCTCCAAACAGCACCACCTGTTTCCTGTCTGCAGGTATCCGTCAGCTGCAGCTGGTCCTCCTGAAGGTCGCCTTACTGCTGGGGGTCCAAGTCCACGTCAACGTGGAGTTTAAGAACCTGGTGGAGCCGCCGGAGGATCAGCACAGGCACAGTGAGAACATTGGTTCTTTTGATCAGCAGCTGGTTTCTGGGATTGATTATTAAAACTAGAGAAAACTTTCTGCAGCTTAAGAGTTAAAACTGTCAGGTGACCTGTTCAGTTGAAGAGTAAGAGATGTAAGCAAGCTCTTTGTCTACCTGCTTCCTTTATCACCCACGTACCTGTCTGCATGTCCACCTGTCTGCAGAGGTGGGCTGGAGGATGGAGGTGAGTCCAAAGTCTCATCCTCTCAATCAGCTGGAGTTTGATGTCATCATTGGAGCAGACGGACGCAGGAACACACTACCAGGTACGCCGACATCCTGAAGTCCAGCTTACTCTGGTGAAAGCTAAGAAAGACTCGACTGCTGAGTCTGAAGTCAGGGACAGACACGGCTGAAGAGGATAAACCCTCTGACTGTCTCTCAACGTGACCTTTTGGAGTATTCTATCTTGCTCAAGAAATATTATGTTTTCATGTTAAATTCAGTCTTATAATCTGATATGATTACAGTGTTAAGAACAGTAAACTTAAAACCTTCCCCCTGACAGTGGTCCCAGTAATCTCCCTTTAACCGTCTGAACAGGTTTCAGGCGTAAAGAATTCAGAGGGAAGCTGGCCATCGCCATCACAGCCAACTTTAAAAACAGAAACACCACCGCTGAGGCCAAAGTGGAGGAGATCAGCGGGGTGGCTTTCATCTTCAACCAGAGGTTCTTTCAGGAACTACGGCAGGAAACTGGTATGACATCATATCCTGTCCGGTTTCATGTGCTGAGGAACAGAAATGTATTAACCATCATGTTCTTACATTTCTTTCAGGGATCGATCTGGAGAACATTGTGTACTACAAAGATGACACTCACTACTTTGTAATGACGGCAAAGAAACAGAGTCTGTTGGAGAAGGGGTCATCATCCAGGTAAACTCACACACCTAGAACAGAGCAACACAGACTGAGAGAACAGAGACGAGATCAGAGAAAAATCGAGCATGCCGTTAGATCAGGCAGGCAACGAAATCAAGCTCAGCTCTCAATCATAGGATAGGAGCCCATGTCATGTCAAGCCCACATCAGCTGACAGCTCAGCTGATTTCCCTCCTAGCATTCATTGGCAAAGCCATACAAGGCGCCGAATTTAAGCCACCAGCCTGCTTGTAACCCGCCGCCTCCAAGCCACATGCTCCGATAGGCATGTGGAAGGGCAGGGAGGTGCTCTCCCCGCCTCAGGGATGACGTCCCAGAACAGTCACAACGCCAAACTACTGCAAGCAAATAAAGTGTTTGATGAAGTTCTGACTGAAATACCTGGTCCTCCTCCATCAGGATTTTGCAGACACCGCGCAGCTCCTCTCTCGTGGGAACGTAGATCAGAATGCGTTGCAAGCATATGCCCGCGAGGCAGCCAACTTCTCCACCAATCACCAGCTGCCATCGCTGGACTTCGCCATAAATCACTACGGTCAGCCGGACGTCGCCATGTTCGATTTCACCTGCATGTACGCATCAGAGAACGCCGCAATGGTTCGTCAGCGACACGGACACCAGCTGCTGGTCACACTTGTGGGGGACAGTCTGCTGGAGGTGAGACAGGTGGAGAGACAGTCAAAAGAGACTCATAAAAGTTCAAAAATTAAATTCTGAGGTGATTATGTGTGTGCGTCCTTCCTCCTGTCTGTCTTCCTGTCTGTCTTCCTCTCTGTCCTCCTGTCTGTCTTCCTGTCTGTCTTCCTCTTTGTCCTCCTGTCTATCCTCCGGTCTGTCCTCCTCTATGTCTTCCTCTCTGTCCTCCTGTCTGTCTATCCTCCTGTCTGTCCTCCTGTCTGTCTTCCTGCCTGTCCTCTTGTATGTCCTGCTGTCTGTCCTCCTGTGTGTCCTGCTGTCTGTCTTCCTGTCTGTCTTCCTGTCTGTCCTCCTGTCTGTCTTTCTGTCTGTCCTCTTGTGTGTCCTCCTCTCTGTCCTGCTGTCTGTCTTCCTGTCTGTCCTGCTGTATGTCTTCTTCTCTGTCCTGCTCTCTGTCTTCCTGTCTGTCCTCCTGCCTTTCCTGCTCTCTGTCTTCCTGTCTATCCTGCTGTCTGTCTTCCTGTCTGTACTGCTGTCTCTCCTCCTGTCTGTCCTGCTCTCTGTCTTCCTGTCTGTCCTCCTGCCTGTCCTGCTCTCTGTCTTCCTGTCTGTCCTGCTGTCTGTCTTCCTCTCTGTACTGCTGTCTGTCCTCCTGTCTGTTTGTCTTCCTGTCTGTCCTCCTGCCTGTCCTGCTGTCTGTCTTCCTGTCTGTCTTCCTCTCTGTCCTGCTGTCTGTCTTCTTGTCTGTCCTCCTGTCTGTCTTCCTGTCTGTCCTCTTGTGTGTCCTCCTGCCTGTCCTGCTTTCTGTCTTCCTCTCTGTCCTCTTGTGTGTCCTCCTGCCTGTCCTGCTGTCTGTCTTCCTCTCTGTCCTGCTGTCTGTCTTCTTGTCTGTCTTCCTGTCTGTCCTCCTGCCTGTCCTGCTCTCTGTCTTCCTGTCTGTCCTGCTGTCTGTCTTCCTCTCTGTACTGCTGTCTCTCCTCCTGTCTGTCCTGCTCTCTGTCTTCCTGTCTGTCCTGCTGTCTGTCTTCCTCTCTGTACTGCTGTCTGTCCTCCTGTCTGTTTGTCTTCCTGTCTGTCCTCCTGCCTGTCCTGCTGTCTGTCTTCCTGTCTGTCTTCCTCTCTGTCCTGCTGTCTGTCTTCTTGTCTGTCCTCCTGTCTGTCTTCCTGTCTGTCCTCTTGTGTGTCCTCCTGCCTGTCCTGCTTTCTGTCTTCCTCTCTGTCCTCTTGTGTGTCCTCCTGCCTGTCCTGCTGTCTGTCTTCCTCTCTGTCCTGCTGTCTGTCTTCTTGTCTGTCTTCCTGTCTGTCCTCCTGCCTGTCCTGCTCTCTGTCTTCCTGTCTGTCCTGCTGTCTGTCTTCCTCTCTGTACTGCTGTCTCTCCTCCTGTCTGTCCTGCTCTCTGTCTTCCTGTCTGTCCTGCTGTCTGTCTTCCTCTCTGTACTGCTGTCTCTCCTCCTGTCTGTCTGTCTTCCTGTCTGTCCTCTTGTGTGTCCTCCTGCCTGTCCTGCTTTCTGTCTTCCTCTCTGTCCTCTTGTGTGTCCTCCTGTCTGTCCTGCTGTCTATCTTCCTGTCTGTCTTCCTGCCTGTCCTCCTGCCTGTCCTGCTGTCTGTCTTCCTCTCTGTCCTGCTGTCTGTCTTCTTGTCTGTCTTCCTGTCTGTCCTGCTGTCTGTCTTCCTCTCTGTACTGCTGTCTCTCCTCCTGTCTGTCCTGCTCTCTGTCTTCCTGTCTGTCCTCCTGCCTGTCCTGCTCTCTGTCTTCCTGTCTGTCCTGCTGTCTGTCTTCCTCTCTGTACTGCTGTCTCTCCTCCTCTCTGTCCTGCTGTCTGTCTTCTTGTCTGTCTTCCTGTCTGTCCTCCTGTCTGTCCTGCTGTCTGTCTTCCTCTCTGTCCTCCTGTCTGTCTGCAGCCCTTCTGGCCGATGGGGACAGGAATAGCTCGAGGGTTTCTGGCAGCTCTGGATTCAGCCTGGATGATACGAAGTTGGGCCCAAGGCGGAGCTCCTCTGGACATCCTGGCAGACAGGTAAACAGTACATGCACACCTGAACATGAAACACCTGCTGCTATCAGAGACAGGTGATCTGTGGTCCGGTAGTGCCGACATGTCTGTATCTCTGTCCCTCAGAGAGAGTGTGTACCGTCTCCTCGCTCAGACGACTCCAGAAAACCTGCAGAAGAACTTCAGTCTGTTTACAGTCGATCCAGCGACCAGATACCTGAACATCAACCGTTTGCTCACAACACCTGCTCAGGCACACACGCATCACTTTCACACTCATGTCCTGGAGATGTACCGTAACCACTACCTGCCTAATCCTGAACCCTAACCAGGTCTTTACTCTAAAGTTGGAGTGGTTTTCTTCTTCTTACAGGTGAGACATCTGGTGGACACTGGAGAAGAGGCGGGGCTAAACACAGACTGTGGTGACATCACCCGTGTGCCGTCACCCAGATTCCCCAGACAGAGTGAGTTCAGGTCGTCTTCCTGTTTGTTACAACTCGCACTTTAGTTTCAGTAACGCTGTTATATCTCGTCCTCTCTGATAGGTTCTTTCTCTCAGTCCAATAAGCTGCTGAGTTGGTGTCAGGAGCAGACTCGTGGTTATCGCGGTGTTGACGTTAGAGACCTGACTACTTCCTGGAAGAGTGGCCTCGCTCTCTGTGCCCTGATTCATCGATATCGACCTGATCTGATGTAAAACTGATAATCAGCTGATAAAGATAATTCACTGAAACTGATCAAACTTCCCATCTTTCCGTCTTCACATGTTCTTGACATGTCGTCTGCCTGACTTCCTGTCTGTCCTCAGTGACTTTGAGTCTCTGGATGAGTCGTCGGTGGAAGAAAACACTCGTCTGGGCTTCGACGTGGCTGAACGGGAGTTTGGGATTTCTCCTCTGATGACGGTGGAAGAAATGTCGTCTGTAGGAGAACCGGACTCTCTGTCTGTGGTGATGTACCTGAGTCAGTTCTACCAGCTGCTCAAAGACACACCGCCCCCTGCTGGTGAGACTCCACATCTCCTGAAATCACACTGGACAAGACTGTTTAACCCAAAAAAGAAAAGTGAAAACAGACTAATGATAAAACAAGTCCTGCACGCAGACAGTGATTCTAAACAAAGAGAAAATACTGTTGAAAGAACACATTGAAACTTAAAAAGTTAGACTTCCACGACTTCCTGAGCTGCCTGTGTGACGTTTAAGCTCCCAAGTGCCTTCCCTCCCGCTCCCCTACAGCGCCAACAGTGTGCAACGCTAGCTAACATTAGCTTAGAAATGGAGTGCGCTAACGTCAATAAACAACCGCCACCCACCACAACACAGCGTACGACGTCAAAGCTAACCTTGTGAAATACACTGTGGCTTTAGCTGGCACCATGCAGCATGGCTGGGTTGCAGCTAGCTGGCTAGCCTTAGTTTGTTTGCTAGCTAACATTATCGCTAGCAAAATACTGTCTTGAGTGCATAATTGAGGTGGGTTAGGTCCAAGCTCGGCTCGTGCAGCTCTTCCTGGGCCCATCGTAGCGGTGGCGTTTGGTCCGGCTGGTCTGGTGCTCAGAAGAAGTCTGTGGCGGTCTTAGGGTCCGCTGCTCTAAATCCAATTCCTGCGCTTCCTTTTCCGACGTTGACCAGTGTACTTCTGTCCCACACAGCCCTGGCCCAATTTAACCCATGAAAATCAACAATAGCTTTCTACTAGCTCAGAGCGATGCAAGGCTGGGCCAACCTTAGCTTAGCTTAGCTTACAGTTAGCTAGTTGGCTAACTTTTGGCTTTAAGAAAAAAGACATTTAATCGAATAAAAACTTACAGAAAAAGACTGAAGAAGACTGTAAAATTTGTGCAAAACATTCCTTAGCAAAGAAAAAAGACAAAAGACTCCAAATTAGTCTTAAAAATTATTTTTGTTATTATTATTATTAAAACAGTTTTCAGTGAGGAACTGCACAGATTCAAAGACTGATCTGAGATAAAAGCAGGTCCAACATGTAGACTTCCTCAGCATGTGATAAGATGATGATTCCCCTCTTGTTCAGTTTCAGGTTGTCTGAGTCAGAGTTCTGACCTGAGATCAGCTCTCATCACTCCGGCCTCCCTCCTCAGCAGACTGGGACTCAGCCCATCCAGAAAGAGGAACCCAAAGGTCTCTGTGGTTCTTCATCATTCTCAAGTTCTTTATTTGTCACATGCACAACATGTTCTCCTCAACAATGCTCATGCTAAACAGTGGTGCCCTTTGCACAGTAGTGCTGGGATGATGATGATGATGATGATGATGATGTAGTACATGTTAGTTTAACAGTTGTAGTATAATATAAATACGTGTACTGTGATGTGTGCAGGTCTAAACAGGTAGGTCCCTGTTGAGCCTGCTCTGTCTGCCTTTGTGGTCGTGTTGCTGTGGCAAGTCCAGGTCAGGTCCTCGCTGATGTGGACCCAAAGGAACATAAAGCTTTTGATCCTCCCCACGATATCCCGCTGAGGGAAAGGGGGAATGTCTGTCCCTGTTGTCCACAATCAGCTCCTTTGTTTTGCTGACGTTGAGATGGAAGTTCAGGATCCAGTCACAGGGGGCACTGTGGAGTCCCAGGTCTCTGAGCTTGGTGACAAGCTCGGAGCCCACAGAGGTGTTGAACTGTCCAGCTGGGAGTCTGGGGGGTTAGGGTGGAGGTGTCGTGAGTCAGGGAGGGAGGAGGTGATGAAGGTTTTGACTAACCCCTCAAAGCACTTCATGATGGTGGAGGTGAGGGCTGCTGGGTGGAAGTCGGTCAGAGTGGTCGGGACCTTTTGGGGACAATGGTAGTAGGTCTTTAAACATGGGGACAACAGACCGGAGCAGTGACGGATTGGAAACGTCTGTGAAGACCTCCAACCGTTGAGAGCTCGGCCAGGTATGCCATCAGGTCCAGGTGACTTGTTTGATGCTGTTGAAGGATCTGCACACGTCGGCGGGCAGGGGTCCGGGGTCGGGGGCCTTTGTTCCTCCTTCTTGTTTGTGGATTGTGGTTAAAAGTGTTGTTGTGGATGATATGACAGACAAATATGGCGCTCGAGACAGCCTCAGTCTGTCTTTCTGTCCTGTTTGCTGTTAACCTCTGGGCGTCTCTACAGGAGCAGAAAGACGCTCGTGGTAAAAGGAGGAAGACCAGCGGGCCGTGTCGAGAGCAGCAGGAGGTCAGTGTTCCACCACAGTTTGTTTCTTATGACAAAAGATTCACAAAGAAAAAACCTTTGAATTAAAGAAAAGGTTTACAAGATGGAAAGAAAATGAACAAAAAGAAACGTTTTAAATGAATAAATGCAGCGATGAGAGGAACTCTTCTGAACCACAAATATATTCCCAGATTTAGTGCTCAGGTCAGTGTTCGGCTTCATGAAGATAAAGGTCAGCTGTTCGTCTCCATGTTTCCTGTTTAAATAAAGTTTTTGTTTCCAGTCATGTGACCGCAACGGGGATGTCGACCGCCAGGAGTATGAAGAGGCGTTTGTGGGCGGGTCCAGTCGCTCCAGAGTGCGTCTGATGGCCAATCAGCTGCAGGCGAAGCTGGACGAGAGCTCTACTTCCTGCAGGAGTTCTTCTTCTGCTGCTGCAGCTTTACGCCGCCAGGTGAGGTCACAGCGACGTCACACAGACAGGTGTCTGATCCAGGATCAATAATATTTCACCTCCAGCCCATCAGATCAGGCTGCTGCAGTTTATTTAATGAATGTTTGAGTGTGTGACAGCGTCAGAGTCCTGCAGCTGATTTATTGAGCTATCAGACAGCAGCTGTAAAAGCTCTAGATGTCACATCACAGATAAGAATGATTTGATCATTGATAACGCTGTGTGTGACTCCGGCCAGCAGGGGGAGCTGTTGTCCAGCCTTTCCCCCCGCCACAGTCTCCGGACCCTCAGCCGGCTGCAGATCCGCTTCACACGTCGTCATGGAGACCGGTAAAGATTGGTAGTCAGTAGAAACCAGTAGAAACAGATGAAGCCTCGTTCTTCTCCTCTCTGCTCAGTGACCTCACCTGTCAGATGAAAATTTAAAGTCTCAGAAACATTTAACCTTTCAGCTCTGAGCTCAGGATGAGCTTCACTCTTTACTGTTTTACACTTACAGAACTTAAATGAAACAGATACTTCCTGAAAGTCCACCAGACCTGAGTGGAAGCTTCCTGAGGATTTTACAGAAACAGATTAAAACAGTTTTTAGATTCAACATGAAACTGGGTCCACTGGATCAGGTCCCAGGTGTAACGCTGCAGTGATGGAGGCTTCATATTATACTGATCATACAGTCAGTAATACAGAGCCAGTCAGAAGGTTTATAACAGCCGCCATGTTTGTAGTTCTTCTGTAAGTCTCAGTAGTTCATGTCCAGTGAAAAACCTTCAATGGAACAAAATAATGAACCAAACTCCTTCATTTAATTGTTCATTTCAGATCTGAAATGTCTGTTTTGGTGACGGAAATGTTGTTTTTAACTGTTGTTCCATTGAAGGTTTTTCACTGGACTGTACATGTAGTGGGGTAGAAGTATAAAGTAACAGAAAATACTGCATTCAGAGTACTTGTACACATGTAAACGTCCGTCTGTCCTCCTGCTTGTCTCTGTGCAAACATCTCTTCAGAGGAAACGAACTCTTCAGCAGGAACAGATGAGTTTTCGGTTCAAAGAGAAGATCAAGTCTCAGTCTGCTCTCAGTGAGGAGGAGCAGGTACAGAGCTGCAGTGCATGCTGTGTATCCGTGGTGGTGTTAGTGTAGAGTTCTGTTTGTGTTGTTGTTGTCCATCGTGTCCTCAGGCTGAAGCAGAGTGGCAGCAGTTGTCTTGACCTTGATTCAGGACTGGAAGCTGCAGCAGCTCTGCAGGCTGCAACCATGTGATGCGTCTGCAGATCAATACCAGAGTGTCCTCACATGAATACTTTCTATTGAAGAGAGAAGAGCTGACTTCAGATCAGCCTGCAGCTCTAACCCCATCTGCTGACTCCACTGAACTTTACCATCCTCCTTTATTAATACTTTATTAAACTAAGAGCGTCTAACGGCTGCAGGTCTGCGTCACAGCGGCCTGAAGGCTCCTGACAGCACCGATGCAGCGTGTTTTACTTTGTTCTGAGAGAGTTTGAATTCTGCTTTCTCAGATAATCCCTGTATTAATATTTGTATTGTGTAATTATTACACAATACAAATATTATAAAATTATTATTGTAATTATTATTAGTATTTGTGGAATACTGTGTTCATAAAGTAAAAAAACTCACTGGCTGCCATCAATGTACAGAACGTATCGGATTCTGACAGGAACCTTCACACACGGCCTTCTTATTGGATCCAACGTCTGGATCCTTGGTGGCTGAATCATTCCCATGATTCATTGCACACCAATGAATCATAGGAAAGGTTTGGAATTTCTCTGAAGAAGAAAATATGGCGCCCCCAAACAGAACGGCTTCTCTGTCGGTGTTGGGTTCTAATGAAATGTCTCTCTGTCTGATCCCAGTGTCTGCAGATGTACACAGGTGGAGTGAGCTCATTGGCCGAGCAGGTGGCTAATCGCATTCAGAGTCAGGGGGAAGTGAATCTGGTAAGTATCTGATTGATCTGAAAATATTTACAACCTGATCTGTGTTTGGTGAAATGTCTGTGAAGATCCAGCTCAGAGCTCGGTTTCTTTTTAGGACGTTTCAGGAAGTGATTTCAAATCTGCGACTGATTCTACAAATACTGTCAATACCCCAGAGTACCAATACCCCAGAGTACCAATAACACAGAGTATCAATACCCCAGAGTACCAATAACACAGAGTATCAATACCCCAGAGTATCAAAAACACAGAATATCAATAACATAGAGTATCAATACCCCAGAGTATCAATACCCCAGAGTATCAATAACACAGAATATCAATACCCCAGAGTATCAATAACACAGAATATCAATACCCCAGAGTACCAATAACACAGAATATCAATACCCCAGAGTACCAATAACACAGAGTATCAATACCCCAGAGTATCAATAACACAGAGTACCAATAACACAGAATATCAATAACATAGAGTATCAATACCCCAGAGTATCAATACCCCAGAGTACCAATAACACAGAGTATCAATACCCCAGAGTATCAATACCCCAGAGTGTCAATAACACAGAATATCAATAACATAGAGTATCAATACCCCAGAGTATCAATACCCCAGAGTACCAATAACACAGATATCAATACCCCAGAGTATCAATAACACAGAGTACCAATAACACAGAATATCAATAACATAGAGTATCAATACCCCAGAGTATCAATACCCCAGAGTACCAATAACACAGAGTATCAATACCCCAGAGTATCAATAACACAGAATATCAATAACACAGAGTATCAATACCCCAGAGTACCAATAACACAGAGTATCAATAACACAGAGGATCAATAACACAGAGTATTAATAAACAGAGTATCAATAACATAGAGTATCAATACCCCAGAGTATCAATACCCCAGAGTACCAATAACACAGAGTATCAATACCCCAGAGTATCAATAACACAGAATATCAATAACATAGAGTATCAAACCCCAGAGGACCAATAACACAGAGTATCAATAACACAGAGTATTAATAACACAGAGTATCAATAACATAGAGTATCAATACCCCAGAGTACCAATAACACAGAGTATCAATACCTCAGAGTATCAATAACACAGAATATCAATAACATAGAGTATCAATACCCCAGAGTACCAATAACACAGAGTATCAATAACACAGAGGATCAATTACACAGAGTATTAATAACACAGAGTATCAATAACGTAGAGTATCAATACCCCAGAGTACCAATAACACAGAGTATCAATAACATAGAGTATCAATACCCCACAGTATCAATAACACAGAGTATCAATAACACAAAGTATCAATAACACAGTATCAATAACACAGAGTATCAATACCCCACAGTATCAATACCCCAAAGTATCAATACCCCAGAGTACCAATAACACAGAGTATCAATACCCCACAGTATCAATACCCCAAAGTATCAATACCCCAGAGTACCAATAACACAGAGTATCAATAACATAGAGTATCAATACCCCACAGTATCAATAACACAGAGTATCAATAACATAGAGTATCAATACCCCACAGTATCAATAACACAGAGTATCAATAACACAAAGTATCAATAACACAGTATCAATAACACAGAGTATCAATATCCCACAGTATCAATAACACAGAGTATCAGTAACATAGAGTATCAATAACATAGAGTATCAATACCCCACAGTATCAATAACACAGAGTATCAATAACACAGAGTATCAATACCCCACAGTATCAATAACACAGAGTATCAATACCCCACAGTATCAATACCCCAAAGTATCAATACCCCAGAGTACCAATAACACAGAGTATCAATACCCCACAGTATCAATAACACAGAGTATCAATAACATAGAGTATCAACACCCCACAGTATCAATAACACAGAGTATCAATAACACAAAGTATCAATACTCCACAGTATCAATAACACAGAGTATCACTACCCCAGAGTATCAATACCCCAGAGTATCAATACCCCAGAGTACCAATAACACAGAGTATCAATACCCCAGAGGACCAATACCCCAGAGTATCAATAACCCAGAGGACCAATACCCCAGAGTATCGATACCCCAGAGTATCGATAACATAGAGTATCAATACCCCACAGTATCAATAACACAGAGTATCATAACATAGAGTATCAATACCCCACAGTATCAATAACACAGAGTATCAATAACATAGAGTATCAATACCCCACAGTATCAATAACACAGAGTATCAATAACACAGAGTATCAATACCCCACAGTATCAATACCCCAAAGTATCAATACCCCAGAGTACCAATAACACAGAGTATCAATACCCCACAGTATCAATACCCCAAAGTATCAATACCCCAGAGTACCAATAACACAGAGTATCAATACCCCACAGTATCAATACCCCAAAGTATCAATACCCCAGAGTACCAATAACACAGAGTATCAATAACATAGAGTATCAATACCCCACAGTATCAATAACACAGAGTATCAATAACATAGAGTATCAATACCCCACAGTATCAATAACACAGAGTATCAATAACACAAAGTATCAATAACACAGTATCAATAACACAGAGTATCAATACCCACAGTATCAATACCCCAAAGTATCAATACCCCAGAGTACCAATAACACAGAGTATCAATACCCCACAGTATCAATACCCCAAAGTATCAATACCCCAGAGTACCAATAACACAGAGTATCAATAACATAGAGTATCAATACCCCACAGTATCAATAACACAGAGTATCAATAACATAGAGTATCAATACCCCACAGTATCAATAACACAGAGTATCAATAACACAAAGTATCAATAACACAGTATCAATAACACAGAGTATCAATATCCCACAGTATCAATAACACAGAGTATCAGTAACATAGAGTATCAATAACATAGAGTATCAATACCCCACAGTATCAATAACACAGAGTATCAATAACACAGAGTATCAATACCCCACAGTATCAATAACACAGAGTATCAATACCCCACAGTATCAATACCCCAAAGTAACAATACCCCAGAGTACCAATAACACAGAGTATCAATACCCCACAGTATCAATAACACAGAGTATCAATAACATAGAGTATCAACACCCCACAGTATCAATAACACAGAGTATCAATAACACAAAGTATCAATACTCCACAGTATCAATAACACAGAGTATCACTACCCCAGAGTATCAATACCCCAGAGTATCAATACCCCAGAGTACCAATAACACAGAGTATCAATACCCCAGAGGACCAATACCCAGAGTATCAATAACCCAGAGGACCAATACCCCAGAGTATCGATACCCCAGAGTATCGATACCCCAGCGTATCAATACCCCAGCGTATCAATACCCCAGAGTATGAATAACGCAGAGTATCGATACCCCAGCGTATCAATACCCCAGAGTATCAATACCCCAGAGTATTGATACCCCAGCGTATCAATACCCCAGCGTATCAATACCCCAGAGTATCAATGACCCAGAGTATCGATACCCCAGCGTATCAATAACACAGAGTATCACTACCCCAGAGTATCAATACCCCAGAGTATCAATACCCCAGAGTACCAATAACACAGAGTATCAATACCCCAGAGGACCAATACCCCAGAGTATCAATAACCCAGAGGACCAATACCCCAGAGTATCGATACCCCAGAGTATCGATACCCCAGCGTATCAATACCCCAGCGTATCAATACCCCAGAGTATCAATGACCCAGAGTATCGATACCTCAGTGTATCAATACCCCAGAGTATCAATAACCCAGAGTATCGATACCCCAGCGTATCAATACCCCAGAGTATCAATACCCCAGAGTATCAATAACCCAGAGGACCAATACCCCAGAGTATCGATACCCCAGAGTATCAATACCCCAGAGTATCAATAACCCAGAGTATCGATACCTCAGCGTATTAATACCCCAGAGTATCAATAACCCAGAGTATCGATACCCCAGCGTATCAATACCCCAGAGTATCAATAACCCAGAGTACCAATAACCCAGTGTGTCTGTGTGTCTCAGTCCTCAGGCTGCAGCGATGTCTGTTTCTTCTGTCAGAGGAAAGTTTACCTGATGGAGCGTTTGAGTGCCGAAGGTTTATTCTTCCATCGCAGTTGCTTCCAGTGTTTCCACTGCAGCACCACACTGAGGCTGGCTGCATACGCCTTCGACCAGCACACAGGTGAGGTTCACCATCACCACCGTCACTATCACCACCACCATCACTATCACTACCACCATCACCACCACCACCATAACTAGTACCACCATCACCACACCACCACCACCACCACCACCATCACCACACCACCACCACCACCACCATCACCACACCACCACCACCACCACCACCACCACCACCATCACCACCACCACCACCACCACCATCACCATCACCACACCACCACCACCATCACCCCCGTCACTATCACTACCACTATCACTACCATTCACTATCACTACCACCATCACCACACCACCACCACCACCACCATCACCATCATCACCATCACCACACCACCATCACCACCACCACCACCATCATCACCATCATCACCATCACCACACCACCACCACCACCATCACCCCCGTCACTATCACTACCACTATCACTACCATTCACTATCACTAACACGATCACCACACCACCACCACTACCACCATCACCACACCACCACCACCACCACCATCACCATTGTCACTATCAATACCACCACCACTACCCCCATCACTTTCACTACCACTATTGCTACCACCATCGCTACCACCACCATCATCACCATCACCACACCACCAACATCACTATGACCACCACTACCATCATCACCATCACCACCATCACAACAACCACCACCACCACCATCACTATCACCACCATCACCACACCACCACCACCATCACCACACCACCATCACCACACCACCACCATCATCACCATCACCACACCACCACCACCATCACTACACCACCACCACCACCATCATCACCATCACCACACCACCACCACCATCACCCCCGTCACTATCACTACCACTATCACTACCATTCACTATCACTACCACGATCACCACACCACCACCACCATCACCATCATCACCATCACCACCACCACCACCATTATCACCATCACCACACCACCACCACCATCACTACACCACCACCACCACCACCACCATCACAACAACCACCACCACCACCATCACTATCACTATCACCACCATCACCACACCACCACCACCATCACCACACCACCACCATCATCACTATAACCACTACTACCATCATCACCACCATCACAACAACCACCACCACCACCATCACTATCACCACCATCCCAACAACCACCACCACCACAACAACCAACACCATCATCATCATCACCACCATCACCACCACAACCACCACCATCACAACAACCGCCACCACATGGTGGTTCACATACCTTTTCCTTCGACTGTGTACATGAACAGAACAAGGGTTTTTATTCTTTATTGATTTCTGTCTCTGTCAGCAGCTGAGTTAAAACAGCCTGAGGATCAGTGAACTCATGATATGTGTTTAAATCTGATATCAGATATTTCTAAATATACAGATATCAGAGAGCAGCAGGTGTAACGAGCTCTCAGCTGTCAGTTATGCGACCACATGTGTCGCTGGGTGACCACATGATGCCGTCATGTGACCTTAGTGTGCAGTTAGAGCCCGGAGCATCACCTCCACATGCCGCAGTATTTTTACCCCATAAAGCTGGCATTGTGCATCTGATTAAAGCCCTCAGCAGCCAATCAGAGCGGAGGTTGGGGCATGTTTGAATGTTGGTATAAAAGCGGCCTGAAGTTGAGTCTGTGTGAACGTCTGCTGTCTCCTCAGCGAGGTTCTACTGTCTCCACCACCTGGACGCTCGTCTGAACGCTGTGAGGCAGAGAGCGAGCGACAGAGCGACTGCACAACCCACGCCACCTGTGAGCAAACCTCCTTTACTTATACCTAATATTACTCATGTTACTGTGTACTTCTACTGCGTTTCAGAGGCACACGTGGTACTTTTTACTGCATGTGTTTAACAGCTACTTTAAGGTTTAACTCATCACAGAGTACTTTTGTTCTGAGTGCAGTACTTTTACTTTAAAACACCTCAGTACTTCTGTGTTGCTGCGATGTTCAGGTGGTTACCAGGACGACCCAAGTTACTGATCACTCAGACTGGGTGTGTTTGTTTCCCTCACAGGCGTCTCTGGGCTCAGCCCCATCACTCTCCTCTGCAGACTCTCTGATGACCGCTGGTCGTCGTCGCTCTTCAGGTGAGTTCACGTCACCTGCCTCGCCCTTTCAGTTTCATACCTGTTCACACTGAACATGCTCCTTAAACTGGAATCAATGTGGGCTTTAGTGTGTGTGTGTTTCTGTGTGTGTGTGTGTGTGTGTGCGGCTGTGTTGGTGTGTTTGCAGTTGTTTCTGTGATGGTGGCGACGCCTGAGAGGATCGAGCTGGAAAACTACCGCCGGAGCTCGACGAAGATGGAGACGGAGCTGCTGGAGGAGCCTGAGGGCCCCGAGGAGCCCGAGGAGGTCTCTGAGGAGACCCTGAACCGGTTCAACCTGAGCCTGGACGAGAAAATCAACCACAGGTCCAGGTGAGAGTCAACCCCGTATGGAAGGTCTAAGTTAAACTGCATTTGTAACTTTAAACATCTCAATTTTAAATGTTAAAATCATGTTTGACTTTATAATTCAAAATCATAATAAACATCAAAATTATAACTTTTTATGGCATCATTCATCAAAACTAATCAGAAGGATGTTTTTGATTTTGTTGGCAGTATTGGTCAGAGCTATTTAACCCCAGATAAATTAATAATTAATAAATATGCCTATGAAATAAAACCTGGAATAAATAAATGAGGCAATAAATATATTTTAAAAATATAATAAATAAATAGCTTTTTAATTTAAAAAGGAGCTTTTTCAAAGGATTTTTATATTTCATAAGCCCACATTCCCCGAAATCAATAAAAATCCTTTGTCTGTGATTTCAGTTCAGAGTCTGAGATGGAGGAGGACGAGGAGGAGGACAGCGGTCGCCCTCGAGTGGCTTCAGAGGAGGCCAGAGCTTCATGGGGGGAAGCTCTGAAGCTCCACCTGAAGGACGAGGAGGAGGAGGAGGAGGGGGAGGAGGAGGAGGAGGAGGAGGAGGAGGAGGATGAGGATGAGGAGGAGGAGGAGGACGAGGACGAGGAGGAGGGGGAGGGGGACGAGGACGAGGAGGACGAGGACGAGGAGGAGGAGGTAGATGAAGAAGAAGGAAGCAGTGAGGTGCAGTCCAGTGATGGTGAGTCAGTTTTTGTGTTACCTGCTTTCTGTCTGTAGTTTGAGTCCTCTGCTGGTTGTTGTTGTTGTTGTTGTTGTTGTTGTTGTTGTTGTTGTGTTTTCTTATGATGTTGTGATGTCGTGCTGTGTCTCCCCCTGCTGGTAGAGGGGGAGTACAGCCCCTGGGACATGGAGCGACGCTCGGGCTTGTGGCTCCTGTTAGAGGAGGAGACAGGTAGAATCCAAACTTACCAAACTACATTCATAAAAACATGAAATTTAGATGAGCATCACCGCATTAACACACAGCATTAAGCTGATTTCTGTGCTGTCATGTGACCATTTTAACAACACAAATATTATTTTAACCAGCTGCAGATCAGCTGTTTGTTTAACACGGTTTGTTTTTTTTCATCCTGAGGGTCGCAGTAGCAAAGAAACACTGAGAGGAAAAGGCTGATTTTTTCTGTAATCACTGGGGGAAAATAATCTTGATCCCTCACCAATATGTGTTACAAATGGAGGTGTGGAGGAAGAGGAGGCTGTTTGCCTAATCACAGACACTGAGCATTATGGGAAATGTAGGATCCAGTGTTTTATAGTCAGGAGTCACCACCTCAGCCCCCCAACACCCCCACAATACAACACCTGAAAGAAAGAATAGTTTATATTTATGTTGCTGTTTGAAAGCCTTTTGCACTTGGCTTCTATAATCTACCTGCCATGTGTAAACTCACCGCGTTGTTTCTTTCTTTTTTTCCTGGTAC